TAATTGCTATTGTAAATGTCATTTTTAAAAAATTATTTATTTTTATTTATTTGAGAGAGAGAGCGAGCAATGGGTGGGGGCAGAGGGAAAAGCAGACTCACTGCTGAGCAGGGATCCTGATGCAGGGCTCTATCCCAGGATCCTGAGATCATGACCTGAGCCGAAGGAAGCCGTTTAACTCTGACTGAGCCACCCAGGCACCCCCATAAATGTCATTTTAAAAACATCTTTTAAAAGGCGTGCCTGGGTGGCTCAGTCGGTTAAAATACCTTTTAATGATTATATGTCTGAACTTTCTAAATTATATAATTGTATTTTACATGGTTAACTAATTTGAACTTGTATTGTGATGCATTACATGCATGCAAAAGAATATACTAAAATATTATGTTTTATATAGACATATAGACTATCAATAGCCTAGACTATCAATATTTTTAAAAGCCCCCCTAGTGACCCCACAATTTCATTCTCTCCTTTTCCTAAAGAGGCAACTGCTATCTTAAATGTTGTGTTTATTGTTCCTTAAATGGAATCACTGTATATATTCTTCTGTGATTGGTTTCTTTAGTATAATATTAATTTTTACAGTGCGTCCATGTTGATTTATGTAGCTATAGCTTTTTTCACTGCTGTGTACTGTTTCACAGAATGACAACTTATTTATCCATCCGACTGTTGTTGGGCCTTTTGTATTGCTTCTAGTTTTTTGCTATTACAGCAGTTATACTGAAAATGTTGTACATATCTTCTGGTATGTATGTGTAAGTTTCTCTAGGGTACAAACCTAGTATTAAAATTTCTGGGACATTGACTTTCCTTATAATTACTAATGATTTTCAGTTGATTTTCTTGGGTTTCCTATGTACAACCATATCCTTTATAATTGTCTGCTTGAATTGTCAAGTGCTTTCATTAGTGGTTTAAAAATAATGAATTTGCAGTATCTTTAAAGGTTGAGTTTCCAGTCTTAATGGGAATGCTTTTAATGTTTCACTTTTGGATATGAGATATATTTGCATGTCTTCATTTTTGTTTTGCTAACTTGCTTTGTTTGTAGTTTTAAGTGAAGGACCCATGTTGCATTTTAAGAAGTACCTTTTTGGGGCACCTGGGTGGCTCAGTTGGTTAAGCGACTGCCTTCGGCTTTGGGGCGCCTGGGTGGCTCAGTTGGTTAAGCGACTGCCTTCGGCTCAGGTCATGATCCTGGAGTCCCTGGATCGAGTCCCACATCGGGCTCCCTGCTCAGCAGGGAGCCTGCTTCTGCCTCTGACTCTCCCCCCTCTCATGTGTTCTCTCTCTCTCATTCTCTCTGTCTCAAATAAATAAATTTTAAAAAAATCTTAAAAAAAAAAAAAGTACCTTTTTGGCACTGATTAAAATATATGACTTTTCTTAATTGACATTATTATGACAGTTCGAATTAATAGATTTTTTCATTTGGACCTTTCTTTACCTTTTGGAATAAACTACCACTCCATCATGCTATAATGTGCTTTGGTATTATAGCAGATTGCAATTGCATTTTCCAAAGGTGGCCACACCTATAACATATCTGACTTTTCATGCTTGTTTTACAATGTGACTTACTCTTCCCACCAAAAAGTAGGATCTGTGTCCCTGCTTCTCAAATCTGGCTGGGGCTTGTGATCACCTCAACCAGTAGAGTATAGTGGAAGTGATGCTATGTGACTTCGAGAGCTAAGCCATAGAAAGGATGCAGCTTTTGCTTGCTTCCTTGTTGAGAGGTAGCCCAGGCCACATAACCAAGTGCAAAGAAACAGACCTTCCATCAACAGTCACAACCAGCCTGCCAGCCATGTGTGTGAGCCACTCTGGAAGTGAATCCTCCAGCCCAGTCAAGCCACTACTCAACAATCTCATGAGGGATCTGAGCTAGAACTGCCCAGCCAGGCCATTCCTGAATTTCTGACCCAGAGAAATTATGAAAGATAATAATTATTGTTGTGTGAAGCCACCACATTTTGGAGTAATTAGTTCTGTAGCAGTATGTTATAAATAATAGGTGTTGCTGGATTTTATTGGCCTTATGTTTTCCTTTATTTATTCTTGAAGTTTATATCAATATTCATTAATAATATAGTATAGATCTATAGTTTTCTGACTTTTATTATCTCAGTGTTTTCCTGAATGTTTTAAAATTTTTGCTAGTTTTTCTATATGTTTGGAACAATTTAATAACTCCAAATTTGTTCCTTGAAAATTTGAAAGAATTTATGTAAGAAAACTTTAGGGTTGGTTAATTTTGAAGGTCATAGTTCTTTGATAACTTGAGCAATTTCTTTCATAAAACTGACCTGTTCAGGTATTTTCTCTTTGTGACATACTGAATGGTTTTCTAGGAAAAAATATATGTCCTATTAAGATTTATTTTTAAAGAGCTGTGGAAAGTGCCCATCTAACATTGTTAAATTTTTATCTGTCGCCATTTCCCCAATGTCAATTCTAACTTTTTTTCTATTTATGCTCACTCCTTTTTCCCCCTTTGGTTAGCTAGCTGGTAATTTATCTATTTTATTAATATTTTTCTTCCAAAGAACTGGCTCTTGGATTCATTTCAGAATGGTAAATGTTTTTCAATTCCACCATTTTCTTTTGCTTACTCTATAGCTTTCCCTTTAAAAAAAAAAATTTATTTGGGAGACAGCACAAGCAGGGGAAGCAGCAGAGGGAGAGGGAGAAGTGGGCTCCCCACTGAGCAAGGAGCCCGACATGGGGCTCGATCCGAGGACCCTGGGATCATGACCTGAGCCGAAGGCAGCCACCCAGGTGGCCCCCACTTTAAGTGTTTAATCCATCTAGTGTCCACATTATATATGATACTAAGTTGGAATCCACTTTTTTTTTTTTTTAAAGATTTTATTTATTTATTTGAGAGAGAGGGAACACAAGCAGGGGTAGTGAGAGAGAGAGAAGCAGGCTTCCTGCTGAGCAGGGAGCCCGATGCGGGGCTCTATCCCAGGACCCTGGGATCATGACCTGAGCCGAAGGCAGACGCTTAACGACTGAGCCACCCAGGTGCCCCTGGAATCCACTTTTATTTTTTCTCATAGTTACTCAGTTTTTACAACACCATGTAGTAAACAATCCATTCTTTCATTTTTAATGCCATCTTTATTATTAATGTGTCATATATAAACAAGCACAGTCTGAATCTTCCATGCTGTTCTACTGGTCTATTTGTAGTTCTGATTTTACTGTTGTAGTTTGGCAGTATGTCACTATTTGGTAGGGCAAGTCTTCCTGCTTGGTTTACTTAAGTGTCTATACTATACCCTTTTTTTCTTTCCCTGTAAATTTTAGGGGAAAAAGTATATTGCGTTCTTCAAAAAAATCCAGTTGGAATTTGGGGGTGTATTGAATTTAATTCAACCCATCCAAGAACATGGAAGTATGCTTCTCCTTTTATTTAGGTCTTCTTCTTCCTGCTTATTCTAATTTAAATGTTACCTTCAAAGAGTTCTTTATATTCTTGGTTTAGTGGGGTTTTTTTTGTTTTGCTTTTTGTGAATGGTGTCCTCTATTTTCTAGCAATTGATTGCTGATACAGTTATGCTTTATTGTATCTGGTAATTTTGCTGAGCTCTGATTAGTTTATGGTTTATCTGTGTACTCTTGGTTTTTCTAGGTAGACTGCCATAATATATGCAAATAGTTACATTTTTTGTTTTTACTTCTAATCTTTATACCTGTTGTTTCATTTTCTTACAGTATTTGTCAGATCTTTGGTACTATGTTGAAAGCAATGGTGATGGTAGTCACTCTTACCTTGTTTACCATAATAAAAGAAACACATACAAAGTTTGTCCATTCAGCTTAATGTGTGATATAGGTTCCTAATATGTAACCTTTACCAATGGAGAGGGTTTTTAATTCCTACTTTGCTAAAAGTTTTTTTTTTTTTTTTAAAGATTTTATTTATTTATTTGACAGAGAAAGAGAGAGCACAAGTAGGCAGCGTGGCAGGCAGAGGAAGAGGGAGAAGCAGGCTCTCCGCTGAGCAGGGAGCTGGACATGGGGCTCGATCCCAGGACCCCAGGATCATGACCTGAGCCGAAGGCAGCCGCTTAACCGACTGAGCCACCCAGGCGCCCCTGCTAAAAGTTTTTAAAGACCATATAAAGGTGTTGAACATTATAAACTTTATCACATGATGTCTCTTCATCAGTTAATTATGGTTTTCTTCTGTAGTCTATTAATATAGTAAATTATGTTGATAGATTTTCTCATATGAACTGTCCTTCCTTCCTATAATAAACCATGCTTGATCATGATGCATATTTTTAATATATTTCTGAATTCAATTAGCTAATATTTAGGATTTTTATAGATTTATAAAATTTACAAATGGGATTCTAATCTAACTTTTTTGTATTGTCTTTATCTGGTCTTGGAGTCAAGATTACACTAGCCACATAATGAGCTAGCAATTTTCACTTTCTATTTTCTTTTTTTTTTCTTAAAGATTTATTTATTTATTAGAGAGCAAGAATGAGAGAGAGTACATGAGAGGGGGAGGGTTAGAGGGAGAAGCAGGCTCCTTGCTGAGCTGGGAGCCCGATGCGGGACTCGATCCCGGGACTCCAGGATCATGACCTGAGCCGAAGGCAGTCGTTTAACCAACTGAGCCACCCAGGCGCCCCTTCACTTTCTATTTTCTAAAACAATTTGATTGTAATAGTAATTAACCGCTAATAGAATGTTTGCTAGAACAATAGTATTTATTGCATAGTAAATTACACTTAGCAGTTTAAAATAACACACATTTATTATGTCACTCAATTTCTAAGGATCAGGAAGCTAGGAGCAGCATAGCTGTGTGGTTCTGGCTCAGGGTCTCCCATGAGGCTGCAGTCAAGCTGTCAGCAGGACTGCAGACATTGGAAAGCTTCACTAGGGCCAGAGGATCCTCTGCTAAGATGGTTTTCACTCATGTGGCTGTTGGCAGGATGCCTTATTTCTCACTGAGGACAGAAGGCCTCAGTTCCTTGCCACATGGCCTCTTCACAGGACTCCTAAGTGTTCTCCCCACATGGAAGGCAGCTTCTCCAAGAGTGAGTGAGCTAAGAAAAAGGGCAGAGAGGAAGCTGCAGTACCTTTAAGAACTAGTCTTGAAAGCTGCACACCATTACTTCTTCCCCTTCTTTTTATATAATATTCATCAGAAGTGAGTCCTTCAGTCTAGCCCATGCTCAAAGGGTGGGGAACTGGCTACACCTCTTGAAGGGAAGGGAATCAAATAATTTGTGGACATATTTTAAAACCACCACAAATAAGATAGACCTGTATGTACTGAAATGTGAAGTTGTACATTATATATTATGTGAAAAATGCAAACCAGAGTTATGATGTCTTTGTTAAGAAAAAAATGTCAGTGGGGTATGTATGTTTGTGGGTATGCCTGAAAAAAAGTCAGAAAGGACCCAATAAAAACTATCCTTCACTAAGCCCTAGTGAAGCTTTCCAATGTCTCCAAGTTATTTGTGGAGGGTAGGCTTTCAGTTTTTACTTATATTACTTCAGAATTATTTAAAAATTTTATGAATTTATTTTCAGTAAGAGCAACTAGACCAAATCTCTAGTATATATTTTTAAGATTTATTTATTTATTTTAGAGAGAATGCACGAGCAAGGGGAGGGGTAGAGGGAGAGAGAGAGAGAGAGAATCCTCAAGCAGACTCCCCGCTGAGCATGTAACCTGAGGTGGGGCTCGATCCTAGGACCCAGGGGTCATGACCTGAGCTGAAATCAAGAGTTGGCCTCTTAACTGACTGTACCACCCAGGTGTCCCTCTAGTATAATTTTTTAAAGAAATTCTTAAATATTTAAAAAAATAACAAAGCCAATAACAGGCTGAGTTTTATTTTTCTGTACTTCTTACAAAATAAGGAACCAGTGAGTTCATTTCTGTTCTGTTCTGACTCCAGTTTTTAGTCCTGCAGTCTGGGCTTCTAAGCATCCCATTTTTCTTTTCTTATTTTATTTATATTTTCATTTGTATGTGTTAAAAGACATACATTTTAAGTTTTTAACATTTATTTTATAAACATTTAAAAGTAGCACTGAATTTTCTCATTCTTGAGTTCTTATTTGTGGTTAGTACTTCATTGTTTAGGCATGGATTTTCATGTAGTTTATTTGGAAAGCAGTACCTGGGTGGTGTATTTTGAATCCTTGAATATCAGTACATCTTCCCATTGTCCTTTTGTTAACACAATAAGGACGTACATGGAAATTATTTACAACCCTTTACCAAGTTGTTTTTGACTCCTCTGACTTTGACTTAGTAGGTGTGCCACTATTTTGTAACTGCATGACCTTGTACAAGTTACTTAATCTTGTTAAATGTTGGTTTCCTTATTCCTTTAGTGTTGATAATTCTACCTTTTAGGATTGTTGTGATGATGAGATAACAGCCCTTTTCACATAACTTCTTGATAATATTTAACTGCTATGATTATAGTGATTTGATAGTCATGATATTCTAGTTTTCCTCCATGAAAAGTATCTTTTTCCTTTATTCATAGATTTACTAAACATTTTTAATTGAACTTTAGAATTGAGAATGTCATCAAAGAAATTAAAAGAATTTGTCACATGACCAATTTATGAGCTGTTCTCTTCACTAAAAGTATTTTTAGGCAGTTTGAATACATATATTTATCTCTTCTTTCTAAAACTTCATGATAATAAGAAACTAAAAACTGTATGAACCTGCAATGATGAAGTAAAGAGCCATCAGCAAATGAGGAATTTCTACAAAAACTTGGAAGGGTTACCTGGGTGCCTCAGTCAGTTGGGCATCTGGCTCTTGATTTCAGCTTAGGTCGTGATCTCAAGGTGGTGGGATCGAGCCTTACCTCAGGCTCCACACTCAGCCCAGAGTCCACTTGGGATTTTCTCTCCTTCCTCTGCAACCCCACCAACCCTCGCATGTACACTCATTCTCTCAACAAATAAATAAGTAAAACAAAAAACAAACCCAAAACTTGGAAAGCAACAGGAGAAACAGTGGTAAGAGCCGCAAAGGGCTAAAAACATTACATCCTGGAATGCTCCACAGGGGAATAAGCACAAGAAGGATTTGATAAGCCCTGTGAACTTCAGGGAAGCTGAGGATGCATCCACACCACTGGAGGCTGAGGGCCAGTCAAAAGAGGATCCTAAGATATTTCCAGAGAGCGAAGAAAAAGTTGCTTGCAAAGGAATTAGAGTTAAAAAAAAAAAAAAAAAAAAAAAAAAAGGTCTTAGAAACAACAGTGAAGGCATATGAACAGTGAAGCAATTCTGAGAAAAATTCTTTTCACTCTAGAATTTGATACCCAGCCACTTGTGAGTGATGATAAGGACTTCAAGCATACAGTGTAACCATGCTTGGAGATTCTCCTTTAAACCAAATGTGTGTCCTGAAGAAAACCTTGCCTGTTTCTCACCTTTGCTTTTTTTCAGTGGCCATGGAATTAACATTTATAAGCTTGACTGAACTCATTTGGGTGTATACCTCCCAATTAATGGAGTAAATCACAAAAGGGGAAGAAGTATATGATCTTGAAAATGGAGCACTAAAGAATAGCCAGCCCAGATTGGAGCAGGAGGATGAACATTTCCAGAATTAAAGGGTTGGGGGATCAATTGACTTAATCTTTTTCAGCCATTACTTACTAATTTTTAAAATTGGGATAATAATAGTATCTACAAGAGAGGGTGGCTGTGAGGACTACTTGAAATATATGTGAAGTCCTTAGCCCAGTGGTTAGCAGACAGATGCTATATAAATGTTTCTGATGACTGTGATGGGCTTCAGTGACTGGATACATTATTTAGCCATCCCTGTGATTATGTCTACTCTTAACCTTTCTTGTTTTTCTTCATTATTGAAGTTCTTCCTTTTTTTATTTCGTTTGTCACTTATGTTACCTGCTGAATGGCTGTTTCTTTGTCCATCTTCTCCCTTAGATCTCTTCTTCCTGGAAAACCTGATCTTTGACCAGATGGCAGTAACATTTGAAGATGTGACTGTTATTTTTACTTGGGAGGAGTGGAAATTCCTAGATTCTTCTCAAAAAAAGCTCTACAGAGAGGTCATGTGGGAGAACTACACAAATGTCATGTCAGTAGGTAAAGTTATCCCAGCTCTTAGGTAATAGAATTAGTTTCTTCTGGGACCGGTTTTGTTGAGTATTTTGGTTCTTTATCTAGGTATTGTATTGAGATAGAAGAAATACGACCCTCAGAAATGGGTCATAAATCAGATGACAGAAGATAGAGCAAGACCTCTCCTAAGACACCTAGGCTATGTAATTAATAGGTATTTGTGATTTTTATTCTTATTTATTTTCTGGATTACACTTAAAATACAGATCTCCACACGTAATCAATTTTGTGTGGTCCTAAATTTGTTCTCTCTTCATACTGTTTATACAAGTTAGCTTTTGCTATATAACAAACTACCGCAAACTTAGTGACTTAAACATTATTTTTCATTATTCTAATTGGTTAGATGGATCTTCTATCATAGAGTGATCTGACTGGGGCTCGATGGTCTAAGACGAGACTGGACAGTCTGACTTACATGTCTGGCAGTTGGTTGATATCAGTGGGGATAATGGGAATGTGTTGACCATATGTTCCTCTTCAAGCAGGCTAGCTCAGGCTTGTTTACATGGTGGTGGTCACAGGATTTTCATAACTAGTGAGAGAGAGGGTAAGCCTCAGTATGCAAGCTCTTTCAAGTCTCTGCTTGTATCACTTTTGCTACTGTCCCATTAAACAAAGCAAACTGTTAGCCAAGCTAAAGTCAGCATGGAAGGGGAACACCCAAAGGTACAGAGTTCATGCAGCCATTTTTTCACACAATCTATCACACTCTGCTAGAACAGAAAAATAGAAACAATATTTTATTTCTTATAATAATGCCCCAACTAGAGTAACCTAATTAAATCTCAGTTTTTAAGATGATTTCCATGAAGCATTCAGCCTTACTTGTTTATTTCTAACAGTACTTGGTAAGTAGTAGATGCTCAAGATATATCTATGGAATGACTGAATAAGTGAATGAATGAATGAATACACGTATGAATGAACAAACACATGAATTTCAGACCAGATATGGAGCAGCCTAAGTCATAATCCTTTCCCACTCCCACCCACACATATATTCCTATAATTCTGGAAGTCGATACTTGAAATACTTGGAAATTTTTTAAAACCACCTTTATCTCACCAATGGATTATCTGCTTATTCTTCTTATTCCAGGAAACTGGAAAGAGAGCTACAAACCTCAAGAAGAAAGATTCAGATATTTAGAACATGAAAATCTTCCCTGCTGGCAAGCCTGGAAGAATGCCAGCGCTCAGATATATGAGAATAGAAACTATGTGGAAACTGTCCAAGGAATAGATTCCAGAGACCTAAAGCAACAAGATCTTTCCCACCATCCAGAATGGTTAATACTCTCCACCCAAGTACCAGGGTATGGGAACTATGAAATGACTTTTGAAGGTAAAAGTCCCAGGAACTTAAAATATACAAAGTTTATACCTTGGCAGTCCTTCGAAACAAAACATACCCTTCGAGACTATGCTAGAGAAATCAATGTGAATGATTCACATGGTTTTCAAGGAAGCAGATGCCATCTTGGCATATCTAGGAAAAATCTCTCTGTGGAAAAAGAACAGAAGCTTATAGTTCAACATTCTCACGTTCCAACAGTAGAAGCCCTTCCGGAGGACACTGGGGAGCTATGTCAACATGACCTACTGAAAAACTCTATGGAAGAGGAATACTGTGGATGTAATAAATGTAAAGAAATTTATTATTGGAACTCACAGTGTGTTCTCCACAAGAGAAACCAACGTGGAGAAAAGTTCTATCAATGCTCTATTAGCACAGCATGCTTCTCTCAGAGATCAGACCTATACAGACATACAAGAATTCACATAGGTAAGAAGCTGTATGGATGTGATGAAGTTGATGGTAACTTCAGTCAAAGCTTAGGTGTTCACTTTCATCAGAGAGTCTGCACAGGGGAGGTTTCTTATATATGCCACGTGTGTGGTAAGCACTTCAGTCAGCTCTCTAGTCTTCACAATCATCAAAGAGTGCATACAGAAGAGAAACTCTATAAATTTGAATGTAATAAGGACCTCAGTAGAAATTCATTACTTCACATTCACCAGAGACTTCACATAGGAGAGAAGCCTTTTAAGTGCGATCAGTGTGGTAAGAGTTTTAGTCGGAGTTCAGTACTTCATGTTCATCAGAGAGTCCACACAGGAGAGAAACCATATAAGTGTGATGAGTGTGGCAAGGGCTTCAGTCAGAGCTCAAATCTTCGAATTCATCAGTTAGTCCACACGGGAGAGAAGTCCTATAAATGTGATGACTGTGGGAAGGGCTTTACCCAGCGCTCAAATCTCCAAATTCATCAAAGAGTACATACAGGAGAGAGGCCTTATAAATGTGACGACTGTGGGAAGGACTTTGGTCACAGCTCTGATCTTCGTATTCATCAGAGGGTCCATACTGGGGAGAAACCCTATACTTGTCATGAATGTGGGAAGGGCTTCAGCAAGAGTTCGAAGCTTCATACTCATCAAAGAGTACATACTGGAGAAAAACCCTATAAATGTGAACAGTGTGGTAAGGGATTCAGTCAGCGTTCACATCTTCTCATTCATCAGAGAGTCCACACAGGAGAGAAACCCTATAAATGTGATGATTGTGGAAAGGGATTTAGTCACAGCTCTAATCTTCACATTCATCAGAGAGTCCACACAGGAGAGAAGCCTTACCAATGCACGAAGTGTGGCAAGGGTTTCAGTCATAGCTCAGCTCTTCGAATTCATCAAAAAGTCCACACAGGAGAGAAACCTCATAAGTGCCATGAGTATTATAAGGGATTTGATCAGAGTTCACATCTTCACAATGATCACACATGAGAAACCTTATAATTACATTTAGGTAACCGCTTTAACTAAAGCTTAACATTAAGCCCAATAAATACTGCTGGGAATAAAATTCTATAAATTACCCAAATAATCCCAAGCAACATTTATAGTTTCCCTCAACCCCCACTAAGAATCATTTGCTTCAAGAAGAAATCCTTAGGAGGATGCCTATATATTTAAAATGAAAGTGTATTTACTTTTTCTATTATATCATACATATCCATTATAAAATATCTGAAAGATTCAAGGAGAAAACTCTTGATCCTGTTTTATTCTAGCCTTTTTTGGTGCGTTTTCATGTGTATGAAATCTTACTGTATATTCAACTCTGTATTTTTACTGACTTCAAAACATTTACTTAACATTTTGTTTTAAATGGAAATTGGCTAGCTAGCTATGAAATAGCACTCTGACTCCTCTGTAAAGTCCCTAGGAAGCCACAGGAAAAACACAAAACTTGAAACTCAAACTGGTAGATAATCTATTGCTCAAATGTGGAAGAATCAACTATAGGGAAGGACAATTCGATTGCTTATGACATAAGATAGGAAAGCACTGCATGACCCTTTATCTGAGATAGGATGTCTCAGGGATATTACCTTTGTCAACCAGAAAAGTCAGGAACCAAGGAACCATCTTTTGCAGGGGTGCTGCACTTTGAGGTTACCACGGTGCACTCTCACAACCCCCTCCCCAGGATTCCACATTGATTCACAACTTCAGACACCACATAACAAGAAGTCCAATATTTAATGTCTCTAAATAGGGTGTGAAAGATGTCAGCAAAAGCTAAGAGAAGTGGATCTTCAGGAAACTGAAGATATTCCATCTGTTCAGAATTGGAGATTTAAGCAGTAGACTGATTTATTCTCAGAACAGAGAGGTAATAGAGAAATAGAACTAAACTCAGATCTATGTGCAAAACTGAACTAATAACCTAATTATGGAAGAAGAGAGAATTTGGCCATTGTAAAATGGAGTAGAGTCAGCAGAAATACACAAGTCCTAACTATTGATAATATAAATATGTTTAGACATCACTGCCCAAGAGAAACTAAGTGGACTTGTTCAGGGAAATAACAGGGAATTGCAGTACCAAAGAAAGAACACCACCATGAAGAATTAAAACCTGATAGCCCTGAAAATTAGTTATTTCAGTCTCCTGAAGAAATTTTCAAAAAACTGGTGGTTTGAGTAGCATGACAGAAAACCTGAAATCAGTGAAACTAAAGCAGAAATCCTTAAGTAGAGAAGAGCCTCTAAAATAAAAATAATGAAAAAGGACTACAGGGAAATTTAAAATGGATCAAAGTGAAAGGCAACAGAAGCAGAATATCAAATACTGTAATGAATAAACTTGATCTTCAATGTATACAAAAAGGATAATGAGATGGAAACAATGAAAACACAGATAGGAAGTGCAAAGAATGGAGATCCAATGTAGGAATTAAAGGTGTTTCTAAGGAAGATAAAAGAATGTGGAATAGAATCAATGATCAAAGAAATTAAGACATTTTACCTGAACTAAACGTATATATGCTCACTAGATTTTAGGCAAAACCAATATAAAAACCATGCTTAGAAACAGCTTAGGGAAAAGAACAATTGAAAGCATGCAGAAAGAAAAATTCTGGTTATCTACAAAGCCAGTGATAAGAATGGATAAAGAACTTCAAAAGTAAATGTCAAAAGACAGTGGAACGACACCTTCAGAATTGTGAGATTAAAATCCCATTATCACCTATGGTATTTTTTTTTAAGCAACTAAATTGTCATTGTCTAAATTGTGCAGGTAACAGATTAGATAAGAAAACAGGAAACATCATACATGTTCCTTTTTTTTTTTATGTTCAGTTAGCCACCATATAGTACATCACTAGTTTTTGATGTAGTGTTCAGTGATTCATTGGTTGCATATAACACCCAGTGCTCATCACATGTTCCTTTCTTGAAGAGAGCTTAAGAATGTGGAAATTATGGCCTAAAACTGGTAATGAGCACTAACATCAGTTAAACAGAATAACTGTTAATTTGTTTACAAAATGTCCAAAATTTTAAATAGCTGTACAAAAAAAATATTTAATATACAAATGCTGAGTATAAAAGCAGATTATATATAAATGCCTGAGAGGGAGACTATGACTGTCAGACAAAATACATGGGTTTAAATTTCAGATCTACAATGAATAATTTTTTAGTATAAGTATATCCCAAATTTTGAATGGGACTTACACTAAGAAATTATTTGCTTATATGAAATTCAAATTTAATTAGGCATCCTGTGTTTTTATTTGGAAATCCGGCAACCCTATGGGGGTAAGAACAGCAAAGGAAAATGTGCTACATTTCTGATCCTAAATAGGGACTCTACATCTTCTTTAACAATTGAAGAAATAAAGGTATAAAAAATATATATTTTTTTTTACAAAGTTAGAAATTGGCAACTAATAGAACTAAAGCACATATGCCTTTCAAAACAGGAGAAAATAAAAACAAAGACTATTTAGTCCCTATTAGCAAAAGACAAAAAAATTAAAGCAAAATGATATTAATCAGTAACTATTATTGATTGCTCAATATTAATTTACTGATTAATTTTATTGATATAAAAGAATAGGCAAAAAAATAGGTGAAGGTTTATTATACAAACATAAGGGAGTGCCTACAATATGTTTTTAAAAGTTAATAAAAATGAACTAAAGGTTTACCCACAAAAGCCAGTAGTTTCCTAAATTCTTGCTATAATAAGAAAATATAATGGGTAGAAAAAAGTATGGTTTATAATAACACTTAAATTTCTTTTCTAAAAAAGAACAAGTAAAAATATAGATGAAAATAATGAAAAAATGAGGAAAATAAAAGAGGACTTGCATAGAGAAGTCTTATTTTTTTTAGAGGAAATGTTCCTAAGTTAATCTATAGATTTCAAATTTCATCAAAACTCCAATGAGATTCAAAATTTAAAAAAAATCTAAAGTCTTTTAAGAAAAACAGACATTGGAGAAGAGCAAAGATAATTTATAAGATCAATGAGATTGCCCTAAAATAAAAAGTAAATGATACACCGAAATTAATGGAGAACTTGTACATTTGAAAAAAGTGTTCAAAATGCTTAGTAAATCACTTAGAAACAGACCAGCATATGGATAACATATGTAATAACATATTTAGTATATATGCATATATACTTTACATATTAAAAAGATCTATGAATAGGAAAAGGATTATTCAGTAAATGGTGCTAAGAAAATGACAGCTCTGGTGAAAAACAAAATTGGGCTTTCATGACATACATCGTATATATATTGTTCTAATATCTATTTAAAGCACAGGTTTTCAGGCAGACTTCCATGAATCTCCATGTGGTTTCATGAAGGCTGGTGTGTCAGAAATGAACTACAAATTTAACCCCATTTTTATCTGATTCATATTCAAGATTAGCATAAGATTTCTTTCTAAAGAGGGTTGTGCTGCTTTAACATAAATATTTAAAGTTCACCAAAGTGGGTTTTTATATGGTTGAAAACACACATACACATATGCATTTTTTGAGAATTAGATAAAAAGGAAGAACTCAGAAAAAATACCTAAGAATTTGGCCACATAAAATTTTCTAAACTGTAGGTGAAAAACATGGAAATCAGACAATAGGGAAAATATGTCATGATTATGACAGTTAAGAACTTTTATAAATTAATAAGGAAGATGGACATCTTCTAAAAATTGGTAAAGGACATCACCAGATTAAAGCAATAAAATACCACTTCTATTAATTATAATAGCTATTTTCAGTGAGAGTACAGAGTGATCGATACTTATACACAACTTACAATAAGTGTATATTGATAGACTCTGGAAAGCTATTTGGCTAATCATAAGCCTTAAAATTGTTGATATTCTTTCCGACAGTGATTTCATGTCTAGGCATATATTTTTTGGAAATAGCTTACACATTATTAGAGCGATTCTATTTCCAAATAACAAAGACCCACCTAAGTTATCTAATTCAAAAATAGAGCTATGTAATATTCATGTTTTAAAATCTCCCAGAAAAAATCCAAGGACAGAAGCTTTCATATGGGAACTTGCTCTAGAAAGCCATTAGACAAAGCCACTCTCTCAAAAACTTGTTTCTCTTTCAGTAGCCTCTCCTCTCTACATATTGACCTCCTGTTTACTTACTCTGCAGATCTAGAATTGCCACCACATCCATGAATATATGTTTTTAAATTCTATTGCCTACCACTGATTTGTAACTTCCTTCTGGGTCTCTATTCACATTTCTGAGTGGGGGAAGATGATTGGTTCAATTTTCATTACTACCTCTACACAAGCCTTTGAGGCCAGGCTAAACCACAGGCTACTGGGAAGCCTTTGGATTGGCTAGCTTTGTATCAGATGTTCACTCTGGTCCCTTCAGACATGCCCAGGGATGGGATAATAAGGCATATAACATGGCCCTTGAGGGCTCATGTTCCAAGAGATTTCCCCAGAAAGTGGCAGGTTTAAGCCTTCTGAACTACATTAGAACACACAAAGATAAATAAATGTTCAAGACATTTATTGCAGTATTTTTAATGCTGCACTCCACCCCCGTCCCCCGCCAAATAGGGGAAAGGTCCTATATGTGTAATGTTCTGCAGTCATTCAAACTTATATTTTCCAAGAATATTGTAATAACATACTTATGGTGTCAATTGAAAATTATTGAAAACAAGATACAGAACTGTATATGGGTAAGATTCTATTTATAATATATATATATATTTATATAGATATTCCCACGGGGAAAAGTTGGAGATTATATATATATGCATATATATATACACACACAAAAAAAATGCTATTACTGGATCTATTTGATAGGATGGATTGTGACTATATTTATGTTCTTCATACTTTCCTGTATTTTTCATATTTTTATTGTTTTATTTTCATAAATAAAATCACATTTTTACATACAACTTATTTAAAATGCTAATGGTTACATGATATTCCATTGTGTTACTGTACCATAATGCTTAATTCTCTCTATATTATCAGGGATTCAGACTTTTCATTTTTATATCATGAATTTAACTGCCATGTCACCGTGTATGAAGTTTCCGATTATTTTTGTCAACTTTTATAATTTTCTACATTCAATTATTGGATTGAAATATAGGCCACAGAAGTGTAATTTGTGCAAAGAAATGAAATCATGAAAATAAATGATGTAGACGACCGGCTACAAGTAGCCTGACACTGATGGCGCAGAAGTGTGAAATTGGAAGGAGAGGTTAGACGATGGCCCGACCGTGACGGACTTCCTGCGTCAAGTTAAAAAATTTCTGTTAGTCATGAAGAAATATTAAAGAATCTTAAAGGAGGGTGCGATACTATCGTTTTGGAAAGATGACTTTAACAACAGTGGGGTATGTTGTAGAGTGAGGGGAAGAGAATGAGCAAGAATGGAGGCCACAAGACCATTTAGTACACCACTAGGTGGTGTCATTGAGTTTTGACAGTAGGAGATAGTTTCCTTTTTTAATTGTTCGTTTTATTTTTCCCTTGTGTGCTCACCAGCGTAAATTTGGAAAACATACTAAAAAATAAGGTTAAGTCAACTATACCTCTGAAACTAATAATACACTATGTTAATTAACTGAACTTAAATTTTAAAAAAAGGTTAAAGATAGCCTGAAAAGCCACTGAAGAGAGGGACATGATTTAACTTTAAATTTTAACAGGGTCACTCTGAAGGCTGTGAAGAATTGACCAAAGGTAGGGGCTAGAGGCAAAGCAAGGATTCCACTTAGGAGGTATTGCAGTAAGGCCTACAAGAGAGAAGGTGTTAACCTAGTATTAACTGGGGAGGTGAGAGAAATAATCAAATTTTGGATAGATTTTGAGTATGATGAATATATCAGAAGGTAGTTCTAAAATTGGGCTTTGGATAGCATTTTAATATGTAAAAAGAAGACCAAAATAGTTTACAGACAGGAGGAACTGCTTGTAAAAACGTGTAGTTAAGCAAAGAGGGTTTTAGGAAGAGTGAAATTATTCTGTCTAGATTAATGATTTCATTTTGGAGTTTGAGCTACTCCTACAGATGTAGGGTTTTTTTTATATGGATAATATGAAGTTCAAATTGTGCCATAGGACTAGTCCAGCCCAACGTTGGGTAGGAGTTAGGGTGTGATTCCAATCTTAGTCCGAATAAATTGAAATAACCTGGGGGGAAGGCAGTTGGGTATTTCAAGCAGACTGAGCAAAATATGTAGTCTTAGGAATAAGTATAGCCTGATGGTTAAGAGCTAGGTTGCCTGAGCTCACATCAGTTACTATGAAAGAAGGTATATTTCCACCTAATGTCAAATTAATCATTGGGTCAGTGTGAACTAGGAGTAATGCAGACTGTCATCAGGCCAACTATGAAGAGTCAGGCAAATCTGCCAGAAATGCCTACCAAATTAATTAGATCTTAATACCTATTGAGTATTGTATTAGGCTTATGCGATCCACTCCAAAAGGTAAAGTAACACGCGTGTTTTTGTTCATCTTCGCAGGTTCTAGAACTTATAATACGGACCGCTGTGAGTCATTTGTACAGGTGTCTTTCACTAAACATTACCGTTAATTGTCAAATGAATTCTAACTTTAACATTTTTTTTGAAAAAGTTCCTGGTGAACAGTGAAAAGCACTGTGGCTTAAAAGATCTGAAGGACTAAGTTTAACCTAGGGTCTGACTTTTGTCGATGGCATGGTATTGGGACAACCATTTGACTTCTCTGAGTTTAAGTACCCTTAGCTGTAAATTATAGAGGTTGAATTAACAAGAGTCTTGAAGTCCCCTAATGAACTCTAAAATAGTGCATACCCATAAAATATGAATTTTCACAGCACACTCTGCGAAATCTTAACAGTTTAATGTCATTTTAATTTCACGGTCACTTCAAGAAAGGTCCTAGTAAGCGCACGCTATAGTCAAGAAAAATCGTGGCTCAAAAAGGTTCGCGATTAGCCCGAACACCAAGGGGAGAGCCCCAGCCGGCAGGAAACCATTAAGTCTTCAGACACCATATGGCAACGGCTTTTATGGCACTGGGGACTAGAGGTCTCGGTACACTTCCAATAACAAGTGCAAGAGAAGAGAAGCCCAAAAGTCAGAACGGTTACCCGGTTTTCCTGGGAAACCTTGTCAATTCCAGGACCGCAGAGTGGACCCGAAGATAGGGGTGGTAAACCGACCCAGCCAGCTGAACCCCATCGCGCTTGCGCAGGAGGACGGACGCAGCCGCAGACCACCACGCAGGCTCCGCGACGTTCCACTTCCGGTTTTCCTGTCCCGCCCAGGCCCCACGGGGGCGGTGCCTTCCGGCCGGGATAAAAACCTTAAGGCTACCTTGGCTTGAGAGTCCCTTAGGGATGAAGTTGAGTACTATTGCCGGGGTAGGCTGACCGTTCGAACCTTCCAGCCTGCCCTGCCCTCTCACACGAGAGGCGCTTCCAGGGCAAGCAGAGGTTTAGGCTTGATTTCTTGTTTTTGTTGATAGGGTGAAGCTACGAATTTGTAGACGCACTTACCGGAACTTCTTGCCGCTCTTGGGACTGCCTACAGTGAGCTCAAACCGCTAGGGGCTGAGCCAGGCGGATTTTATTCTGGAAGTGACGGGAGGAGTTTGGAATCCATCTATCCTTAAGGATGTGGGAGTTCAGATCACTTTATAGCGTCTCTCCTAGAGAAGTGATCTCATAAGACTGCAAAAGGGACTGTCCTTACACTCTTCTCCGGCCCCTCCCCCTCTTACACATTTTCATTCAGACGTCAAACCCACCCACTGAGATGTTACCATTTTGCCTCAATGAAGACGTAAAGGAAAATTCTGTAACTAATACGATTTTCCTCACTTGCTAGACTGGTACATAATGTCTATGACAACTGTGGATCCTTTTTTTTTTTTTTTTAAGATTTTATTTATTTGAGAGAGAGAGAGAATGAGAGAGAGCACATGAGAGGGGGGAGGGTCAGAGGGAGAAGCAGACTCCCCGCCGAGCAGGGAGCCCGATGCGGGATTCGATCCCGGGACTCGATCCAGGGACTCCAGGATCATGACCTGAGCCGAAGGCAGTGGCTTAACCGACTGAGCCACCCAGGACCCTGACAACTGTGGATCTTTTTTAATAGCCTATTTCAGCCATTACAACATCAAAATGAAGTAATGGGGGCAAGAATAAACAACTTGGGTATCAAGGAGTACTTGGAGAATATTGATAGAGCAGAACTGGTATTGGTAAATTACTAAATTCAAAGCTCACATCTATGAAGATGATAGCAAATAGAGCCCAGTCAGGGCCACTAATCATAATTCAATCCTAATTCAGTGTGAACAACAAAGTATTTTTTTATTCAAAGAAATGCACAAATTTGTGGGTACCTGTGTTGGTTAAGGGACTGCCTTCAGCTCAGGTCATAATCCTGGAGTCCCAGGATGGAGTCCCACATCGGGCTCCCTGCTCAGTGGGGAGTCTGCTTCTCCCTCTGACCCTACCCCCTCTCATGTGCTCTCTCTCAAATAAAATCTTAAAAAAAAAAAAATACACAAATTTGAAAAAAGTACTGATGTTATAGTGGTGGGATCATTAGTATTCATTTAAAAATGTCTTTGGAGAGGGGCACCTGTGTGGCTCAGTTGGTTAAGCATGAGATTCTTGATTTTGGCTCAGGTCATGATCTCAGCGTCCTGAGATAAGTCCCTCAGGTTTCCACGCTGTGCGTGCAATCAGCTTGGGATTCTTTCTCTCCCTCTGCCTCTGTGCCTCACTCTGCTCACGCACTCTCAAAGTAAGTAGCATCTTTAAAAAAGATGTCTTTGGTTACATCGTTTTACACTGAGATGTAAAAAATAAGTGGTCAGGTCTATTTCCTACTCACATTCAATACTATTTGTTGCCAGCCAGTATGTTACTTCTTACAGACTAATTGTCCCCCCAAGTCATACTAAGTAGTTAGGGGATACAGTCCAATAAATAATTGTAATAGAATTCCTGTAAGTGCTGTAAATGTATAAGTATGTGGAATTTAGTACATAGATTTTCTGTCTTTGGTTGTCAGAGGTGGCTTTCTAGAGAAAGCAAGCTCTTTAGTTAAACTTGAAGGAGTGAAAATTAGCTAGATGAAGAGGAGGTCTACATGAATAGGAAATATATGGAAAACCCTGGAGCTAAGCACATGCGGTGGATGGGAAGCTGGAAGCTGCTGCATGGCTGACACATGGGAGTACAAAGGGTGCGGTGCAAGAGAACATTAGAATATGAAAGACAAGGTAAGTCGTTTCAGAGTTTAGATTTCACCTAAAAGTTCGCAGGGAGTATTTGAAAGGTTTACGCATTTGTGTGCAATAATCAAAATTTGTATTTCAAAAAGATCCTCTGCCTGCATTTTACAGAATTTCAAGGCAGAGACACTAGCTGAAGTAATGAGAGAGAGAGGATAGTAACCAGAATATAAATATAGTACCAGTAGGGACATATGCAGAGAGATACAAGGAAGAGTCTAAAGATTTGGTGAGCATATTAACTAAGGATATAGGGCAATCTGTGGTACAAAAGAAAACAACAAAACCAGGAGCTTCTACATGACTGAAGTTTATTTCTCTCTAACCATCTGGAGGTAGATGGGTGGTCCATACTGGCTCCCACTTGTAGTCCACTGCAGTTACTACAGTTTTCACGGTTCTCCAGCCAGCAGGGAGAGGGAAAGGTGTCAGGAGAATAGAATGATGCCTAGCTGCTTGAAGGGCAAGACCTGGAAGTGACATACATCACTTCTGTTCACATCCCATCGACCAGCACTTACTAACAGAAATTTAAAGTTGGGTGGCTATGTGCCCAGCTAAACTTCTAGAACAATGAATAAATATAATAGATAACAACTAGCAGAATGCCTTAGTAATTCAGGGATATGGCGTATGGGCACAGAGAAAGGGGGAAGGTTTTTGAGATTAGACACTGGGCCATTCCCTGCACTGAGGCTGAATGGCAAAGATCTTCCCATTTGTGCCTTCCTCAGTTTCTTTCATCAATGTCTGATAGTTTTCAATGTACAGATCTTTCATCTCCTTGGTTAAATTTATCCATGGGTATGCAGTTGTAACTGCATAAAAAGAATAAAATACCTATGGATGAATTTAACAAGAAGGCACAAATAAGGAAGATCTTCCATGCTCATGGCTTAGAAGAATACTGTTAAAATGTCCACATTACCCAAAGAATCTACAGATTCAATGCAACCCCTATCAAAATCCCAATGGCATTTTTCACAGAAAAAAAAAAAATCCTAAAATGTGTATGGAACCACAAAAGACCCGAATAGTCAAAGCAATCTTGAGAAAGAAGAACAAAGCTGGAGGTATCACACTTCCTGACTTCAAACTATATTACAAAGCTATAGTAACCAAAACTGTATGGTACGGGCATAAACACAGACACATAGATCAATGGAAGAGAAGAGAGTGCCCAGAAATAAGCCCTCATATATATGTGGTCAATTAATTTGTTACAAAGGAGCCAAGAATATACAATGGGGAAAGGATAGTCTCTTCAATAAACAGTGTTGGGAAAACTGGACAGTCACTTGCAAAAAAGGATGAAAATGGACCACTCTTATACCATACACAAAAATTAAATAAAAAATGGATTAAAGACCTGAAACCATAGAACAAATGAACATAGAATAACTTTGCACATTAACTAATCATAAGTGTTCACACTCCAGTATACCTTTTCTGTTTTTGAGTAAGATATGAGCTTTAACTAAAAGCCACCATCCTCATTCATTGGGAATCTCTCCAATATGAGTATTTTGGGGGCAGATTAAAGATAAATTTCTTGGCTCAGGATCTCAAAGGTAACTTACAGAAATAACTTATAGAAGAAAGAGGAAACTAGTGCACAGAGTATTAAGACACTTTATTGACCTCTTAATGCTTAGAATAAATGACAGACCCAAGACTATGGATGTCCCTCGGGCCTAGATCCCAAAGAGTACTTTTAAAAACGCAGATTTGACGACTATATATAGAATCCACTTCCCACTGCAATTGATAACCCTCCTCCAATTCTAGTCCCCACTCAGCACCAGGACGGCCAAGGATATTATCATGGAGTAATTTGCCATTCCTATGGTCTCTGCCATTAATTCAGAAAGTTCAGTCCTTAGAAGTATTCCTATATTCTTGTGAGCTCCTGGTTTCTCATGACCTTCTTATAAGGACTGCAAGTTTGAGTTTTATTAAATATCAATGGCAAGGGTATTGCCTGGCTCCTCCCTAATATCTACTTCAATAAATCATGTGAATATAAGGATGCCATAGGTCCCATTTATGAACTAGGAATGATGATGGCAATGGATACCAGAATAATAATAGGCAAAGACTTGTATGGTGATACATTTAACTCCAAACCTTTGTGGCTTCATTTGGGAGCATATTCCTATCCAATAACAGATTTCTCTCCAATATTAATTCTGTCATATTAATTAAAGAAGAATCCCTGACCAATGTTTTCTTGCATTTACTCTATTCACAGGATTCCCTCTAGTATAAATTCATTGATGTAGTTAATCATGGGTTTCTTCCTTTTGCAGGACTTCTCCTGAGTATGAAGTTTTTGGTGTTTTTTAAGGTTTGAACTCCTGTTGAAAGTTTTCTCACATTCCTTACATTTGAATGGTTTCTCTCCTGTATGAATCATTTGATGTCGAATAAGGGAAGAGCTTCGGCTGAAGGATTTTCCACAATTAACACATTCGTAGGGATTATCTCCAGAATGAAGTCTTGAATTTTTATTACTGTCTTCAGTCTCACTAAAACCTTTTCTACATTTATTGCCTTCACAGACCTTTGCTTCAGTATGAATTTTTTGATGCTTAGTAAGGTTTGTACGTCTGTTGAAGAATCTCCCACATTCACTACATTTATAAGGTTTCTCTCCTGTGTGAATGATCTGATGTCTAATGAGGGATGAACTCCGACTGAAGGCTCTCCCACATTGATAGCATTCATAGGAATTCACTAAGGTATGACTTTCTGGGTGTTGAATATCTATACTCAGGCTCAAGGCATTCCCACATTCATTATATTCTGAATTTTGCTTACCGGAGTCTAAATTAAATTTGAAGTTAGTTTTAAACTTACCACATTTTGAGGACCCTTTTCTCATAGGAATTCCTTGTTGTATACCCAAAGTTGAATTAACTGACTTAACATCTAAACTTTTCTTATTCTCACTACCTTCAAAGTTTCCCACTTCAGTGTAGACTGTCTTATGAACAAAAGCTTCTTCTGGCAAATTTATGTCCCAGTGTTCCTGGTTCCTATATAACCAATCATTGCTCATCCAAGCATCTAAAGAAGGGGATCCGCTTTTGGTCAGTCTTGTCATAATCACTCCAGGAGATGATTCTTTTCCAGAAATTCTCTGCTTTGGAACTGAATCTTGGTTTTCTGAAATTACCTCTCTGTCTAAAAAGAAATAAAAAATTCCATGAACTAGAAAAAGGGAAATTGTTTAATTAGGAAAGGGATGCTAAACCACATAAGGGAATATGCGTATTTTATAGGCCTTAAATACAGAATGGAAATGTGAGGTGAGATTAGAACAATGAGAATTATAGAAGAAATAAAAGGGATAAAAGTATTAAAAGGGAGGTTAGGAGATCATAAAATATGAGAGCTATTCAGGAATATTAGAATACATAGGGCTTAGGAAAATATCCAGCATATGAACTGGGATAGGGTGGCATATCATAGTTCAAATTATTACCGGATTG